TCTTGCCGATAGTATGGAACCAATTTCCAGTGCCAGCATAGTTAATTTCAGTGGATTCTGATATCTTTTGGATTCTGCCATGATTCTAGGGAGTCACATGAAGTCACCAATTGTCTTTTGACCAATTGTTCCATGACTAGCTGTTTCTTAACTGACTGTTCTTTGGTTTATTGTTCCATTATTGGTTTCTCCTGGACCAGTTTGTTCTTGCTTTCCACAACACAGTGTGGATCTGGAGGAACACAACAGTTCAGGCAGCATCAGAGGAGTAGGAAAGTCAACGGTTCGGGTCGCGACGCTTCTTCAGAACTGGGGAGGGGGAAGGGAGCTAGGGAATAAATAGAGGGAGGATAGGTGGGGCTGGGGAAAGGTAGGTGGATGCAGGTAGGTGGTGGCGACTGGTCAGTGGGAAGGGTGGGGCAGATAGTTGGGGCTCTTCCTTGCCTTTGACTAGTTTAACTCATTCTTTTATTTGAAGAAGTTTCAGGACAAGACATACATTCATATTCAAGAGTGAGAAATCTTGGATTGTGAATTATGTATGAGTTTTCTGCATTCAAAAGTCACTTATGTAGGAGAGTTGTTTATAGAATGTCTTTAATATTTAATGGTTTACCTCCTAGACTATGTACAGTAACTATGACTGTAGATGGTGTGTTTTCAAGCATGATTGACTAGATGACGGTTGTTCTATATGAAGTTTGAAATTAGTGAGTTGCCCATTGTCTTAATTTTCCTTTTGATGAAAGATTACCAATCACTAGTTCCCCCCAGGAACACTTTAGGCATTTTTTTTTTGTAAACTGTTCTACCTTGTGTAGGTAGCTATTTGCCTTTTTGTTTTTCTGTGACCGTCTCCTATTTTGGTATATTTTATGAAAGTGGCTCATTGTGTTACAGGTAAAATGTTCTTTTTTAACAGCTGGGCGCTGTCTGTGCCTGTGAGGCCTGTGTGCTCTACAGAGCCGACAAGGACTTTTAGTACCCATTGTCTGTCTTACTCTGTACTGATACATCACATGTGACTTATTGGTTTTGTACCTTAATAACTAAATAGATTCTGCAAACTCCATATGATTGATCTTCTCATAGGATGATCTATGCTGTTTACAAACTTCTTTTGGAATTATTTGTCAAATTTCTTTGAGTCTAAAGAACATTTCATTCCAGAGAAAGGCATACAGAAGATGAGTGAAGTTGAAAACTCATCACTTCCAGAAACAATTCTGTGTCTTATGAACTCTGACTTTAAATGATCTCAATTGCATTCCTCCACTAATCTGATTAGATCATTATTTTAAACAACATTATCCAGTGACAGAGGATTCTGTAAAGTTCCTTTTCCTTTCCATCCCTCAATACTCTAATCAGCCCCCTGCCACTAACACTAATCAGCCAGCAAGCAGGGGAACCTCTGCATCACTGACAGCTCAAATCCCAGAAATGTAATTGGTGTGTTGCCTTTTTAATAAGTACTAACTGACCTGCTATGCATTTCCAGCAACTGTTGGTTTTGCTTTTACTTTTGCTTCCTTGAGACTGAGCCGTGCTATTGATGCTTTGTGGTTCCCCAGTTTAAATTCCATTCTCCTTTTTTGTGATGAAATGTGTGATGCAAGAAAATGCCCCCTTCTTTCAGAGATTAAAATGTTAACTCCCTTAAAACCCACATTGTGTACCAGAAATAGAAACGTTGGCCTTGTTTGCATGTTAGAATGCAAAACAAGTGAAAGACATTCAAGTCAGAAAATAATGCCAGACAAGATTTGGAAAAATTTTTATTTTGTTTGATGCTGTAAAAACATGGGAGCCTGTTCTCAGACACATTAAGAACTGACATTCTAATCACATTCAGTGCTGAAATGATAGACTTTCCTGTGGTTAACTTAATGTAGTTCCAGGAATACAATATAACAAGTGTTGTGCTTGTTAGACAGTGTGTTTAGCCCGTATATCCTGCAAAGGATTGAGAGTTGACTCTTAATAGCAATATGAAATGATCTTTATTGGTTATAACACAATTAATATTATAATAATGATTATGCTACAAACTAACAATTAATACTATAAATCTGACAACTAATACTGTAAATCCAAGTCAGTATCTTGCACTTTAACTTAACTTGGACTGATCAAACATCACCACACTAGACCTTGCCCTTGATCCTCGTGGTAATAGTCATCTGGTCTTCCTTTCCCGGTGGTTCTCGGGGCACCTCTTCTTACAGTAGTTGATCTCGAGTTACAGTTCCTGAGGGTACTGTTGCAGTGATTCTTATCCTTGGAAGCTTCCACACCCCTTTGGGAGGATCTTCGATTCCCACCAATGGATCGATCAGGATTCGATTACCCTGATTGATCAGACCTAATCAGGCAGTGTCATGCGGATAGTGGGGTGGTCTTTGGTCCTCCATTTCTGAAAGTGTCAGGGGCACGCAAGTCAGATAGGTTTCCCAGGTAAGGGTGTGAGATGTCTCTTTGTTCCGGAAACAGCTTGATGTTTCCCATTGTCCTGGTAAATAGGCTTAGTTAATTGTGTGATAACAAGGTGTAGAGCTGGATGAACACAGCAGGCCAAGCAGCATCAGAGGAGCAGGAAGGCTGACGTTTCGGGCCTAGACCCTTCTTCAGAAATCAGATTCTCCAGCATCTGCAGTTCCTACTATCTCTTAGTCAATTGTGTATTGTGCTGTCTGCAGCTGCAGCCTGCCTGTCTGGGTCTGCAGCTTGTTTATTTCGGTAGCTTTGCACAGATACTTTGGCCAATGTTTGGCTTGATTTTGCAGCATGCTTGGTATTATCCAATTCTGCCATTTTGAGTGGCCCATCTGGCTATACAAGTCAACCATTTCCAAATGCAAAGGATTACTTTGAAACTAAAATACAGAAGCAGCTATTATCCTAGGTGATAACAAGGTGTAGAGCTGGCCGAACACAGCAGGCCAGGCAGCATCAGAGGAGCAGAAAAGCTGACATTTCGGGGCTGGACCCTTCTGTTTTGAAGAAGGGTCCAGACCCAAAACGTCAGCTTTCTTGCTTGTTCATCCAGCTCTACACCTTGTTATCTCAGACTCCAGCATCGGCAGTTCCTACTATCTCTTAGTGAGTATTATCCGAGGTGGTTCACTTTAACTCCCCTCCCACTCCTTGGACGACATGTCCATCCTGGGCCGCCTCCAGTGCCACGATGCCACCCGAAAACGAGGAACAGCACTTCATATTCCGCCTGGGAACCCTACAACCCAATTGTCTCGATGTGGACTTTACAAGCTTCAAAATCTCCCCAGCCCCGACTTCATCCCAAGACCAGCCCCCCTCTCATCCCTGCCTCCTTGACCTGTCCGTCTTTTCTCTCACCTATCTGCTCCTCCCACCTCACTGACCAACCCCCACTCTCACTTCCTACCTACACTCACCTCACTTCTACTAGCCTCATCCCTGCCTCCTTGACCTGTCCATCTTCCCTCCCACCTACCTGCCCCTCCCTCCTCACTGACCAACCCCCATCCCAACTCCCTACCTATACTCACCTTAACTGGCTTCATCCGTGCCTCCTTGACCTGTCCGTCTTCTCTCCACCTATCTGCTCCACTATCTACCTTCTATCATCACCTCCCCCTCTCTCTATTTATTTCAGAGCCCCCTTCCCCTCCCCCATTTCTGAAGAAGGGTCCAGACCCGAAACGTCAGCTTTCCTGCTCCTCTGATGCTGCCTGGCCTGCTGTGTTCATCCAGCTCCACACCTTGTTATCTCAGACTCCAGTATAGGCAGTTCATACTATCTCTGAGACTATTATCCTAATCATTTTATGTTGATAGTTATTTCCCTAATGAACAATAGTATCTGCTCTGTTTCCATATCTATTCATTTCCTCTCTCTTATCCAACTGCCTAACCCAATTTTAAATATTGTTGTGGTTTCTGCTTTAATCAAATTCCAACAGCACATCTTAAATGTTTCAACAAGATTTTTGTCCTAAATCTGACATGCAATCTAGAATTTACTTGTCCCTTTTCCCAAGTTCTTCAAACATCAGAAACTACCAGTTTCTATATACTGGGTCTCACCCTTCATGATTTCAGATGCCTTCTACTGAATTCTCAAACTCCAGTGTTTCAGCAAGAATATGCACATTTTTTTCAATTCTGTCTTTCTTTTCTGAGGCAGCAAATTAGTGAATCTGTGCTGTGCCTTCTCTATTACATTGCCTTCTGAGACCGAGGAGTCCAAAATAATACATAATATCCCATCTGTCCATAAAATCTAATATTCCATTAGCTTTTATTATCACTTATTTAATTCTTTCAAGAGCAGATCACGCTTGTGCAGAAGGTCAAAAGAAGTATTTCTATTCTATACAAATCTACTGTAAAACCTTAGAGAAGTATTTCTCTGTTACTCTTCCTTTATTCCCTGTGCTTTTCCTCTCTGTTGCTGTGCGCTTTAATGATGCTCCCTCACACCTCCAAGTTACTTCCTTTTATACTCTAATTATTCTTTGTGCTTTTTCTATTTGTGTAGGGATTTGTAGATTCTCCCCAGTGTATGCCTTTGTCCAGCAGCAATTTCTTCTCCCACTACTCTCAGTATTGTCAGGACTAGTAAATTGATATTGTTGATCTTATATTTGACTCCCAGACTAGCAAGAGTTTTTTAAAAAATATTTCATTTTATTAAAAACACAATTGTCACCCAGTATAATCTGCTGTACACTTGTTAGTTCTAGGTATTCAATCACTTTTGGAAGCAATTAAAACAATAGTACAATTTGGTGATTCTTTCATGGATGCAACCAAAAAATTTATATCACTCAAAATGTCACATTTATCACCATTTTGGAAACTAATTATTTACACATTTCTGCAAGTGTCACATGAAGGCTAGCAACTGTAATAGAATTAAGAGACAACACAGCAGGCCAGGCAGCAGAGGAGCAGGAAAGTTGACTTTGGGTTGGGACCCTTCTTCAGAGATGGGGAGGGGGAAGGGAGCTGGGAAATAGAGAGAGAGGAGGGGTGGGGCTGGGGCTGGGGAAGGTAGGTGGGATGGTGATAGGTGTGTGCAGGTAGGGAGTGGTGGGGATTGGTCAGTGGGATGGATAGGTAGGAGAAAAGATAGACCAGTTGTGTCAGGTCAAGCAGGTGGGGATGAGAGGGAGGGTTGGTCATGGGATGAGGCTGGGGGTGGGGAGATTTTAAAACTGGTGAATTCCATTAACTGTTTGCGTTCTGAACTTGTATTATTTGAATTACCTGTTAAAGTTCTTTGAAGCGAACAAAAGTAATTCCCGTTTTTATTAAATTGCTTAGTTCAAATTACTGGATAATTCAAAATTTCACCCAAAGAAAGCTTTGAATTAACTGAAGCAGACTGTAGGATAAATTAAATTGAATTTATTTTGTCGTATATGAGTCATAATTGGGCAGGATTTCTAATCCCAGTTTTAGAGATTGATCCCACCCTAGCATAGTGTCACAGATCAGCACAGTACTCCAACTCAACCCAGCAGTCAGTGCCTGGATTCAGCCACAGTGGATAGTGTCTTGGATCTATATATCCAGAACTATTTGTGGAACTAGTCCTCACTACATTGGCAGGTTGTGCTGCAGCAATGCAACATCTCAATATAGTTTGTCTACAGCATTAGCCTGTAGCTGCCTGAATTATTGCAGATATTTTAGTATAAATTGGAGATCATTGTCACCTGTAGGTACCAGGCCTACTGTGATAGTGGGATGGGCACTGAATCTAACAGCACTTAGCAACCATATCTACTTTACTATTGAGTGTTAAGAGTCTGAATGTGAATCTGCTTTCTACAGGTAGTTACCACAATCATTTGTTATTGCCAGTGACTATTTTAAAGTGAATTGTTTCTACAGTTTTACTATCAACATAATATACACTGCAATTAATAAATATCACGGAATTATTTAGGTAAAAAACATCTAAAAACTATTTACAATAAAGTGTCTTAAGTTCAAGTCTTCTTTGCCTTTCATTCTCTGAATGCCAGTTGTTGGTAATGCTATTGAGTCACATTCATATGACAGGGACTATCCTATGCTTTATATCACCCAAAGCATCCCTAAATTCTTATCCATCTTGGAAACAAAATTATTTTCACAGTTCTGCAAATGTCACATGAAGGTTAGCAACTGTGATAAAATTAAGTTTGTGTTCTGAAGAAGTCATATTATTTGAATTATCTGTTAAAGTTCTTTGAAGTGAACAAAGGTAATTACTGTGTTTTTTAAAATTCCTTAGTTCAAGTTCCTGGATAATTCAAAAGTCATCTCCCAGTCCACCATCCTGCTTCTAACAGCAGAGCCAGGAGATTAAACAGTCGGTGCAGTAGGAATATTAATTCCTCCAGTCCTTTATTTCTTCACTAGATCTGCTCTGTTGGCATCTTGTACGATCCCTTGCAGTTATTTCTGCGATAGATATAGTACATCGTACTAAATAATAATAATCCTGCAGATCCAAGTGAAGCACCTACATATGCTGTTTCTAGGATTCCCCTCGGTTTCTCATATAGCTTTGTTTCTGTGGAGAGACATGGGACTAGGTTTAGAAATATATTTCAGTAAAATAGCAGGCCCAGACACCACACTTCCGCAATTGTATGCTACAAGTATATTTTACTTACCATTAACTTGTATTGTCACAAATCCAGTTTGACTCCCCAATTCATTGATTACTTCAACCTCATAATATCCAGCATCACTTTGAGTTATTTGAAGGATGGAAAAGGAGTTGTTCGTGGACAGCAAAATAGTTTCACTGTTGTTCTCCATTTTTTTCCAGGTGAAGTTTGCAGAGAAATTGCTGTGAACAGTGCAGCCGATGGTGACATTCTCACCTTCACTAACCAAATTGGAAGGATGAACCCAAAGAGTCAGAACTGTGGGGTAAGGAATAAAATTGCATTCTCATTAATAAAACGTGTGAAAATTGTTAACTTTCCAAGAAGTAGGGTATTTTTTTAAACATATTCACCAATTTCCTTACAAACCTTGAACCACAAGCTCTGTGTTCCGGATCTGTGTTCCCAGATCATTCCTGGCTTCACATTCATACTGCCCTTCATCACTAGAGTGAGCCGCATCAATTATAAATGTTCCATTCTTCGAGTCCAACTTTATCTGTCCACTTTCTGTCTTCTTGCTCAGTATGATCTGAGCAGAGGGGTTTGAGTGGCTGGTGCAGGTGACAGTGACACGCTGTCCTTCTTTCACAACGGATGGACTGATGGAGAGATGTGTATCTCTAGGTTCAGCTGTGTAGAGAGACACTATGTGATGTTAGTGAATAGCAAGAGACTGCACCAAGCCAACGTCAGCAAATCGGTGTGCAGAGCACCTTGAAGAGAAAGAAGCTGCACTTACCGAGAACATGAATCTCCAGTTGTCTGGCCTCCTGCCCCAGCCCGTTGCTGGCTTCACAGCGGTAGGTTCCGGAGTCTGTAAGCTGGGCTCTGGGCAGCTGCAGAGTGGATTCATTCCGGGCAATGATTGACCAACCCTGGGCTAATAGTTTGCTCCACACAAAGCTGGCAGGGGGCTTGCTCTCAGCAGTACAGATCAGCTGGAGATCCTGACCCTCTCTCACTGTGGCAGATGGCGTTACAGAAATCTGTGTCATTCTGGGTGCATCTGTGGAAGGAAGAGAAAGATTTTAGTCATGCAGTGAGAGTGGGTTGAACCTTTTTGATGGAATGTGTTGCCCCGCCACACACTTGAATTTGATGGCGAATTGTCTGTCTGGGTACTTACACTGGACGTGTAACATTAACTTGTCCTCCAAAGACTTTGAGAGCTCCTGGATGTAGAGCTGAGCCTGGCAGGTGATCTCCTGGCCTGAGTCACGCAGGGAAGGGATCAGTTCAGTGCTGAGGGTAATCGACTCTTCCCCGAAGTGCTGCTTTTCAGCTAGGACCGTCTCTCCTTTCAGCAACTTGACCTCCATTCTGCCCGGGGGGTAAACATCAGGCACGGTGCAGGACACAGTGCTCTTCCTGCCCACTTCCAATGTCCCGACCGTCTCCAGGATCAACGCATCTGGGAAAGCTGCAATTACGAGGAGTTTGAGGTCACTCTCAGTTAGAAGCGCACACACTTACATCATCCCTCATGACCAGTTGCCCATATTTCCCAAATCTTACAAAAGCCCAGCTAGTCACCAACACACCCAGAAAACAGTTCTGAAACTGCTGACAATTTAAAGTCATATTTTAATTTTTTTTTAAAAGTCACCCAGAGTCCCGACCCGAAACGTCAACTTTCCTGTTCCTCTGATGCTGTCTGACCTGCTGTGTTCTTCCAGCTCCACACCCTGTCATCTCTAACCCAGAGCACAGCTACTTTCCTTTCAATCATTCTGTTCTGATACATTATTACACATTTCTGGAGCAAGTAGGACTTGGAGCCAGGGCCTCCTGGGTCATGATAGGGTCATTTCCAGTGCACACAGGAGCTCTGAAACTAGGGAAAACTAACGGATTTTGTAAGCAAACATCAGCGATAGCCCAGCACCAGCGATCGGCAGCTAGCCCAGACAAGGAACAAGAGAGAGAGATAAACACTCACAGTAAACGTTCACCGCCCGGGATTTCTGTTTCTTCTGCTCGCCGCAGGTCACGTAGCAGATGAATGTGTTCTCGTTCTGACGGGTCACCGGGGAGAAGGTGAGGGTAGACACCGAGCCCTGGCTGCTCACCGTGCCCCCGAGAGGTTTGTCGATTCCGGTTCTCCAAACGAAGCTAGGAGAGGGACAGTCCTTGCTTTCACACCTCAGTACCAGCTCCTGGCCGACCCGGATCCATGGCAAAGACTCCGGCTGCATCTGTATTTGGAAGCTGCATACTAAAGAAAGAGGCAAGCAATTTACAAACTTTTTTTTTAAAAAGCAAGCTTATAAAAATATACATTTTTAATTTTTAGAAGTTTAACAATAAAGTTTACAAACTTAGGTAGTGTTTCAACTTTTTATAAATAGCCTTCCAAATTTATCAAGTTTTTTATAAATAAATTTAATTTTTAAAAGTTTTAACAGAATAAAAAAAAGTTTATAAACTGAAGTACAACTGTATGTAAAAAAAAACCTTCCAACTTTGTCAAAAGTTTACACATTCCAGTTAAAAGTTCACAATTTAATGAACACATTAGAAAAGTTTACAAATGCAAATGTTTCAAAAATTACAAATGTATCTAAAGTTTTCAATCATTTAATGTTTACACATTTGATGTTTAAACGGACATTTTTTTGACGTTCACAAATGCATTTTACATGAGCAGACGGAGCAGACGAAAGCCAAAACAGATCTTTTTTGTTTTTATAATGAACTGATGATAATAATTTGTTAAAAATAAAATAACGGGCGGTAAACATTAAGAAAACGAATCCTGAGAATTACCCGTTGTGAGCAGGAATTTGAGTGTTAGTAAACGATACGGGTGTGAGCTTCCAGCCGCCATGGTGCAGTCCACTCTCTCAGTTCAAACCTCTGGTGTGTACTGCCTGTCACTGCTGACCACTAAGAAACTGACAGTAGCGCTTTGTACTTCGTCCTCCCGTTTTATAAAGCCGTTTGCCGAACTGGGAATTTCCCGCTGCAATGAAAAGAAATTCCCAATCATCTGATCGAACATCCCCTTTTGCTTTGCTCAATTAGGTTCTGGGAACTTCCACCCGATCCGTGGAGCCAAAAATCATAGACCAGAACAATTTGCCAACGAAAATACTAAGAAGCTTCCTGTAAACGAGAGATGCAACGATTAAAACCTAAACTTTAAAGTGCTCGGTATCTGTTACGAAGCAGATATGTGGAGCCTTGGAGAGTAATTAAAGGATGCATTTTGTTCAGATGTGATTAAAATCGAGTTAAGTGACTCATTAGAGAGTAGAAAGACCATTTCTATCTCTGGTCTGCGCCAGATTTTCGTACGTGGAATTCACCTTATGGACTTTTGCCTTCCCAGTGCACACTTGAATTCCTGGTCGTCCCTCATAATAATGAGAAAACGAAGCCTGTTCCCCTCCACCATGTCAATCAGCTTAGCCACTGTGTGACTTTTTTTTACTGCCAGGAAGAGAACACGTTCTTCGTAGAAAGTGATACAACCATCATTGGGCACTGGACTGGAGAAAACAATATCAAATGAGGCTCCTGCTCCTTGTTGCTATCCAGTTGAAATTGCTCTTAAGTGAAACATGGGTCAGGACAGCACCAGGATTTTGCACAGCTCCTAGGAAAGTGACAAGTAGGGTAGGTGGGACCCAGCCAAACTTCCACCCCATGCAAGTCATCAGCAGAGGAGAGAAATGGAAAGGGGGTAATTGTCAGCAAAGTGGAGGAGAGGAAAGTGACTAAGGGTGATTAATATGTTACTGCTGCCCAAGACTGGATTTATGTTTCATGAACACAAAGCCCACATATGTACTTAAGCTCAAAGCAAATACACTCTTTCCATCAACACTAACTTAATCTTTGGAATGAATTACTCAATGCTTTTTAAATTATTGAGTAAGAATTAAAATTTTATACATCTTTAATATGTCACCCTCTAAATAAAACATGATTAAGAACATACAGTCTATTATGGTAGTATTTGGGAGTACATTTGACTGGGACAGGGAGAAGAGAGAAATAAGGGGAGAAGATTAAATATGAGGGTAAGCTAGCCAGTAATATAAATGAAGACTGTAAGAGTTTCTTTAGAGATATAAAGGGCAAAAGAGAGGCAAAAGTGGACATTGGACCACTGGAAAATGACGGTGGTGAGATAGTAGTGGGGAACAAGGAAATGGCTGAGGAACTGAATAATTACTTCGTGTCAGTCTTCACGGTGGAAGACACGAGTAATCTCCCAAAAATTCAAGAGAGTCGGGGGCAGAGCTGAGTATGGTAGCCAAGGAAAAGATGCTCGTAAAACTAAATGGCCTGAAGGTGGAAAAATAACCTGGACCAGATGGACTACACCCCAGAGTTCTAAAGGAGATAGCTGAAGAGATAGTGGAAGCGTTAGTGGTGATCTTTCAGGAATCGCTAGAGTCAGGGAGGGTCCCAGGAGACTGGAAAATCACTAACATGACACCCCTGTTTAAAAAGGGAGTAAGGCAAAAGACAGAAAATTACAGGCCAATTAACCTAACCTTGGTCATGGATAAGATTTTGGAGTCCATTGTAAAGGATGAGATTTCTGAATATTTGGAAGTATATGGTAAAGTAGGGCAAAGTCAGCACGGTTTCATCAAGGGAAGGTCATGCCTGACAAATCTGCTAGAATTCTTTGAGGAAGTAACGAGCAGGGTAGACCAAGGAGAGCCAATGGATGTTATCTACCTGGACTTCAAAAAGGCCTTTGACAAGGTGCCGCACAGGAGACTGCTGAGTAAGATGGGGGCCCACGGTGTTAGAGGCAAGTGCTAGCATGGATAGGAGATTGGCTGTCTGGCAGAAAGCAGAGAGTGGGGATAAAAGGGTCTGTCTCAGGATGGCACCCAGTTACAAGTGGTGTTCCACAAGGGTCAGTGCTGGGATCACAACTTTTCACTTTATACATTAATGATCTAGATGAAGGAACTGTGGGCATTCTGGCTAAGTTTGCAGACGATACAAAGATAGGTGGAAGGACAGGTAGTATTGAGGAGGTGGGGAGGCTGCAGAAGGATTTGTACAGGTTAGGAGAGTGGGCAAAGAAGTGGCAGATGGAGTACAACGTGGGAAAGTGGGAGGTCATGCACTTTAGTAAGAAGAATAAAAACATGGACTATTTTCTAAATGGGGAGAAAATTCAAAAGTCTGAAGTGCAAAGAGACTTGGGAGTTCTAGTCCAGGATTTCTCTCAAGGTAAACTTGCAGGTTGAGTCAGTAGTCAGGAAGGCAAATGCAATGTTGGCATTTATTTTGAGAGGACTTGAATATAAAAGCAGGGATGTACTACTGAGGCTTTATAAGGCTTTGGTCAGGCCACATATGGAGTATTGTGTGCAGTTTTAGGCCCCATATCTCAGGAAGGATGTACTGGCCCTGGAGTGGGTTCAGAAGAGGTTCATGAAAATGATCCCAGGAATGGAAAGCTTAACATATGAGGAACGTTTGAGGACTCTGGGACTATACTGTTCGGAGTTTAGAAGGATGAGGGGGATCTACTTGAAACTTACAGAATACTGAATGGCCTGGACAGAGTGGATGTTGGGAAGATGCTTCCATTGGTAGAAGACTAGGACCTGAGGGCACAGCCTTAGAGTAAAGGGAAGACCTTTTAGAATGGAGATAAGGAGAAACTTCTTCAGCCAGAGAGTGGTGAATCTATAGAATTCACTGCCACAGAAGGCTGCGGAGGCCAGGTCATTGAGTACATTTAAGACTGAGATAGATAGGTTCTTGATTATCAAGGGGATCAAGAGTTACGGGGAGAAAGTGGGAGAATGGGTTGAGGAACTTATCAGCCATGATTGAATGGCGGAGCAGACTCAAGGGGCCAAATGGCCTAATTTCTGCTCCTATGTCTTATGGTCTTATGAACTGTTCCTTTCCTTCAAGAGAGGTTTTGCAATAAACAAAAGCAAATTACTATTATCCTAGCCCAGGACACCAATCTTCACCATTTATAAATCAAATGTAATTTCATAGACTTTTTTAGAAACAATAACATCATTCCCCAAAGTTGTGGGCTGGTATGTCAACAAATCATTGCAATTAATTACAATACTTATGTATGATACAAACTTCACAAAGGAGGATAAGAACAGCTTATCCTGTACATAACTCCAATGTTTGTAGGTAGTGATAGATGATGTTACCAAGACATTCTTGGATTTTCATTAAAATCCTGACAATTAGCTAAACATCTCAAATATCTTAGTTTTCACCATTTCCCTTTTTGCCAATTATAAACTGGGCCTGATGTGGAGAAAATCTGTGTGAAATTTCATCCTTCTTCCTATAAAAACCCATCAAAATGTATTGCATTACATGCAGTGGACCTGTCTCCCTTTGTCCAAAAGTCCCCTTGATCTCTCCAAGACTGCAAGAAAATACAGAGCATCATGAAAGCATCCCGCTCCATCACGCAACCAGCCTTCCATCCATTGACTCCATCTATACTTCCTGCTGCCTGGGAAAAACAACCAACATAATCAAAGACCCCTCTCCCCCTCTTGCATTGGGCAGAAGATACAAAATTTTGAATATGTGTATGAGCAGATTCAAGATCAGCTTCTTCCCTGTTGTTATCAGACTGTTGAATGGATGTCTCAAATGTTAATGTTGATCTCTCTGTGCACCTTCTTTGTGGCTGTAACACTGTATTCTGTACTCCGTTCTGCTAACCTGATGCACTTTGTGTGGTACAATCTGCCTGTATAGCACGGAAAACAACTCTTTTCACGGTATCTCGGTACATGTCATAATAATAAATCAATCAATGAAGAGAGTTGATACTACTTATTTGGTGCCAATGGCTCCATTACTGATGAATTCTTTTTAATTGAAAGTCTGGAATAGGGTTGCCAACTTTGACTTGACATGTTCCAGGGAATATCATCACATGACCTCCAACTTTCACCTGCCCCTTTCCCAGACTCCTGCCATCATTCATCTAACACATCAATCATCCAGAACTCCCACCTTCCCATGGCTTTGACTTTGAAAATTTGACCACTCTATTCAAAGGCTACACCACCGTCTCTACTATAGTAGTATAACATGCTGTGTAAAATAATGTGCAAGTATCAGCTGAGCCTCAATTGTAGTACACTTGTGAAGTTAGAAGATTAAGAGTTCAAGTCCCAGGGTTACACTGTCGTATGGTGCCGAGAATCTGACATCTTTGATATTAGTGTTAAACTGAGACCATCATGTGTGAATGTAAAAACAGAAGGTATGTTCCCAATGCATGGTGTCATTTTCACATACAGAGTTTAGAATTAGACTATTAGAATATCCTTTATTGTCACAAGTACTCAAGAACAGGAGTATCATAGAATACCTACAGTGTGGACACAGGCCATTTGGCCCAACAAGTCCATACCCCCCATCCGAAGAGCATCCCACCCAGACTCATTCTCCTACCCTTTCCCTGTAACCCAGCATTTTCCATGTCTAATCCACCTAATTTACTCACTCCAGGATGCTACAGACAATTTACCATGGCCAATCCACCTAACCTGCACATCTTTGGACTGTGGGAGGAAACCGGAACACCCGGAGGAAACCCACGCAGAGACGGGGAGAATCTGCAAACTCCACACAGACAGTTGCCTGAGGGTGGAATTGAACCCGGGTCCCTGGCACTGTGAGGGGCCACTGAGCCACCGTCTACAGTGAAAAGTTTTACAATATCACCTCTTATGGTGCCATTTTAGATACAAAGTACGTTGGGACAAATCTTAGATACAAAGAGAGGAATAAAAAAAAAGTAGTTGTATTACTTTACAGTTGCCAGAATGCCCCTGCATCTATTCAGCAGTCTTTTTTAAATTGTTCATTGGGGGTATTACTAGTCAGGTCAGCACTTATTCCCCATC